AAGGGTTGCGGCCCTAGTCCTGAGTATATTCTGCTAGTATTTTGCATGCTTTCTCTAACTTCCACTAACTAAATATTATAGGAAAGTATATCTTTAAATTTAAAAAATCAATCATTGAGTTGTTTGATTAAATGGTATTAAATTATCCAGACTGCTATGAGAAGTTAATTTCTAAAATCTATTAATTCAATAATCTTTTAAAATGTATCTTTAAATTAAAACAATCAATCATTGAGTTGTTTGATTAAATCAAATTATCCAGAGTCCGAATTTATTGAATTTGATCCGTATCTCAAATCCGCCCAAATCCAGTTTAAATTGATCGCCGGGTTAAATCTTGAAACATTGAATACAATTATAAGTGAACCAACTATATTTGAGCCGCGTCTCAAATTTAAACCGTGGCTCAAATTCTTTAATTTAGGCCTCAGACTGCTATGAAAAGTTGCATCAATTTTAAAAATCGGGTCGACTTTAACATGTCGCAACGACATTTTTACTTTTTTGTATCCCTGGACATGTAGATTTTAGAATTACACACCATTCGCTTTTAACTTTAGTTTTCAAGAAGTAAGTGGCAAAATTCTCATCGATCAAAGATAAATGAGATAGACTTGTATTTCTGTCAGGATATTTGTTTCTATTGTGGTGTACTAAACGTGACTTTTGGATTTCTGTTACAGAGTACAGAGACATCGAAAGAAATTATTAGAATTCAAAACTATTTTTTTCAACCACTCTATTTAAAGGGACTGTGCGTAATTGCAAGTGACCCTACATGCAAATACCGGGGAACAGCATATTTCACTGATTCATGATCAATGATCATCAGGCAAAGAACTCGGTGCGTTTATCTCTTAAAGGGATTGTTCGCGAAAACAGTTAATATTTCATAATATTTTTTACTTTTTATGATCTGATATGTCACTTTTGACAACATTTATATTCCTATTTCGAGAATTTTTGATAATGAAGACGACATTTTCATAGTTTCCAGGAATGGTTGAAAATCCAGCGCCAGCGAAATATTATTTAAAAAAGCAAAATCAAAAATATTACACAATATTAACTATATATGAATGCATCGAAAAATAATCGATGACTATTGGTTGTCATATCTGAATGATTTATTTGAAATTAAATTGATTATTTAACGATCCCAGTTGAATGTTGCAAATTTCTGAATTTTTATGGACTCTGCGTTCTTCAGCAATAGTCGTTTTTAACAATTTTCTCCTGATAGGCGCAACAGATAGAAGTAAGATTCGTAGATTAGTGCTTATTTTTAACCGTAAGCCTATACCCCCTTTCATTTTTTCCGAACACTCCCTTTAAATAATGTTCAAATTGCCGCAAAACTAGCGTACGAGGGAGGGAACCCCCGGACGCCATGAGCCTCCACTATGCAGACACGAGCCTCCCAGATTTGCTAGGCTGATAGAGCCTCAACTATGCAGACCAAGCCTCCGCTATGCAGACCGTGCCTCTGCTATGCAGTAAATGAGCCTCCACTCTACAGCACAGCTTTTTTTAAATCTTGGTTTTTATGTGTATAATAAAAAATTTAAACAATTTTTTTGACGTAGTGGCATAAGAATTTTACTAAAGATTAGAAATATTTTTTGATTGTCATGATTAGAAACATATATGAACTCATAAAGTGGTTTATAAGATTTATACTTAAACTTTAAACATTTCTTGCGCAGAAAGGAAGATATTAGGAGAAATATTTCTTGAGTAAACTTAGTTTGTTTTGTTATAATCTTTGATTTAATCGATACCTTTTTTTGAAAAATGTTAAGATTAAAATAAATGATACAAATTTGCTAGATTTAATTTGAACTACAAAAAAAGGTATTGCTTAAATCAAAGATTATAAAAGAAGAAATAAAATTCAATTCAAATTTTTTTCTCTAAATTTTTTCCTTTTCATGTAAAAAATGTTTAAAGTTTTAAATACCACTTTATTAGTCATAATTAGGCGCTATTTATGCTAATTGATAAAAACTTATCATTTTTGAGAAACCTCTCATGCCACTATGTCGACAGAATTGTTAAAAACATTTTATTATGCATACGAAACAAGAGTTTTAAAAAGTACTTCTGTATAGTGAAGGCCCGTTTACTGCATAGCGGAGGCTTAGTCTGCATGGCAAAGTATCGGTCTGCATGGCGAAGGCTCGTTACTGCATAGCGGAGGCTCGGTCTGCCTAGCAAATCTGGGAGGCTCTTGTCTGCAGGGTTGGAGGCTCATGGCGTCCGAGGGTTCCCTCCCTCAGCGTACAATATGAACTCAAAAACAGAAATAAATAGCAATAATCTATTTCCATCAATTGGTTTTCAAAAATTTGAAATCAGTAATCCTTGAACAGTCAACGTTTTAAAGGGTATTGTTGCTAATCGGGTACGCCACAAATTTGGAGTTACTTATAACTGAAGTCCCTTCCTTTAGCATTTGTTATACTTTGTTACATTCCTTGGTTTGAATCTTGATAACTTATTTTAGCCTCCAATATATGTAATAAGATACTAATTAAAAATAATTAATATCCAGTGTAAGAAAAAACTAAACTCTTTGATTCTGATAGTAACTTAATTAAAAACCAAGAACTTTTAATTAATTGACTGCGATACTAATTAAAACTAGAGACCCTGCACAAGGAAAATAAATGAATATGTGCTGAGTAAAAAAGGTGGATCAGTTTTAGTAAAGGAATCGTATGAAAGATAAAATAAAGTCAATATTGATGAGTGTAGAGAGCAGAATGGAAAAATATTTTTTTTATTCCACATTTTGCGCCCAATTCCGCGCAAATCAGGGTGCGCTAAAAATGTGAAAATTGCGTAAATTGTGTGAAAGCGTCACGAGGATTTTTTTGCAAATAGCGCGTAACAAATATTGTGAACTTTATTTAAACATATTTTCAAATGACCCTATACCACCCGGCCACCTTAGTTCTAAACTTTGTTTTCATTTTATGAGATTGTTAAACAGTGATCTTCATGCAGCGTATTGTGTACTGTATGTACTGTATTGTGTACTATTACTGTATGTACTGTATTGTGCACTTTGTGTACTGTATTTTGTACTTTGTGTACTGTATTGTATACTGATACTGTATGTACTGTTTTGAACATGTAATAAATATCGGGTAATATATTAAGATAAGATATTCTGTAAATTTGCAGTACGTTGTACATTATTAATGATGGATAAAATTTGGGTTGAAGTCATACCTCGTTTAGGGTAGAGATCAATTAAGTGCTTGATAGATAGCCAATGCTTTTGTTCTTTTGGGGCATTTAGAGCCGAATCCATAGCTTGTTCTATAGCTACGCTTTTGTCCTTTTGTGACAGTTAGAGTCAAATCCATAGCTTGTTAGATAGCTACGCTTATATTTCTGTGTGGCATTTAGAGCTGAATTAATAGCAAGATTGATAAGCTATGCGTATGTCACTTTGTGGCATTTAGAGCCTGAGTAATAGCTAGATTGATAACCTACGCTTGTGTCCCTGTGTGGCAGTTAGAGCCAGGTGGGTTGTGTTCTGTTTGACATGGATAGTGGACTGGCTGTGCCTGGACGGATACAGTTTAGGGGACGAACTTTTAAGAGTACGGCATTTACTACAAACATACAACTTCAAGGGAAGTTGAACTGCCCTTTTTAATTAAAATTATGAGGAAGTTGAATAAATAAATAAATAAACAAATAAGTAAATAAATAGTTTATTTGGCACTTAAACATACATGGATTATCAAAAACACGTTGATAATTCTAGAATATTAAAGTTTTGGCTTGTGGAAATACAGAAATAGATTATTCATTTTTTTCACTCTAGAAAACTTTCTAAAAAAAATCTATCATTGCTTTGGAACTATTTATTCATTTAACTATCTATAACAGGTTTTGTTGCCAAGGAAAGGAAAAAGTAAAAATGTACTTGTAGTGTTGTCAATCGTTTTGGACCGTTTAAAAAATAATTATTAAAACTTGGAAGATTTCAAAACTGTAATATGTTAAAATTTTCTTTAAAAACTTTGCAATATTTTTATCCTAAAAAAACGATTCAAAACCGATCGTTACAACACGTTCGTTTTTTCATTATTTTTGGCTCGTTTATGCATCGTTTTTGCACCGTTTATTGCATATATCCTCTGGCAGGGTAAAATGCAAATCTTTGAAATTCTTTGAAAACATTTTCTCACTTTACACGTTGCCAAATTTTGACCCTGATAGAAAATATAGACAAAACACGATCCTAACAAAGAAACCAACTTAATGCACTTCACTATCTGGAAGCAATTATTCCTGTGTTAAATTACTGTTAACACATTTTTACCATTTATCTTCACTAGGCGAGGAACTATCCCAACTGAGGCCGAATTTAAAGAATTTGAGCCGCGGCTTAGATTGTTGGTTCCACATAAAATTGTATTAAATTTTTCAAGATATTGGCCGGCGTTCAATTGAAACCTGTTTTTGGGGGATTTGAGACGCGGCTTAAATTCATTAAAGTCGGACACTGTTTGCCTAAATCTAAATCTTAACAAAACAGTTTACATCTAACTAAAGTAAATTAGGCTTTTGATTGAAATCTTCATATTTTCAATCATAACTTATTAAATATAATTATTATAATAAACCACAAACTCAAGTTTTCTAATCCCTAAATATTCATAACTTAATGGTAGATATTTCAAATTTAGATATTTTGATCCAACAGAAATCATAGTTTGAAAAAGAATCAATTTCTTTGTTTTTCTCATCCTTGTACGTAAAATCTAAACTAGAGGAGTGTTACAAAATCGTACCAGCATTATGCAAATCAAATAAAAAAAAATTTTCTTTCTAATTTTCCTACAGTGAAAACCAGGAAAATCTGGAATAAAGTCAATTTACAGTTATAAATAGTTCAATAAACATAAGAAGAAATTGTATAGTGTAAACTGTAAACCTTCATAAGTTAATTTTCAACCAAAAAGTAAAACTATTTGCTTTAACCAACATCAAATACACTTAAAATTGCCTTAAGGTCGTCTTCCTATATATCTTTATTTATCTATTCCTTATCTCCCATGTATTTTTGGGGCCGTTCCCCCGGGCAGATTATTAATAAATTAAAAAAATAAGTTGTAACAAAATTTTTTTTCAAATAAGACAATTTGAAGTTTAACCCACAGAGCACTTCTTAATCAATATGTTTTCTTTTTTGATGTGCTTTTAAATGATAAGATAGGGTGGCAACGTATTCACACTGATCACAGGGATATCTAACTCTTTCATGAATATTTTTAATATGTTTCCTCAGATCACCTGCTTGAGTGACAGCGTATTCACAATTGGAACAAGGATATCTCACTCCTTCATGTTTACTCATATTATGTTTCTTCAGATAGCTTGCTGTAGTGGCAGCGTGATCACATTGGTCGCAGGGATATATCACTCCTTTGTTTAGATTCAATGTGTTTCTTCAGATCACCTGATTGAGTGGCAGCGTATTCACAATGTGAACAATGATATCTCACTCTATCATGTTTATTTTCAATTTGTACTTTAAGATTTCTTGCTGTAGTGGCAGCGTATTCACATTGATCACAAGAATATCTTACTCCTTCGTGTTTATTTTCAATGTGCAACTTCAGACTCTGTACACCAGTAGCAACATAATCACACTGATCGCATGGAAACCTCACTCCTTCATGTTTACTTTTAATTCATGTGTCTTCAAATGAAAGGATTTAGTTGCCACATAATCACATTTTCCACTTGGAAAAATTGCATCTCGTTTACTCTTTTTAAACCTCTTTTGTTCAGAGAAAAGGGGATCTTCTTCAATCTTGACAATTTAGCCTGAAAAATTCAAAAAGAGAATTAATACAATATTAACCTCAAGTATCTCAAAAGTAATATCTGAAAATGCAGTCAATTGACGTAACAGGTTTTAGATTTAATGGGCTTTCAGGCGCTTCGCGCCCATTTCCTATAACAATTGTAAACACTTTCTCTCTGTGCACATGGTAAAAAAACGAAAAAATTTCGTGGATTTCTAAAATTTTATGGAAATCAAATTTGTTAGAAGCAAATTTTTTAAAATTAAATCATCAATAAACCTTCCCTTGGGTCACCGGAGGTCCCACATAACATTTGGGCACGATCATTTCAGCCATTTTGATGTTTATTAAATAAAAATAGACAAACAGATTAGCAAAGTTTATGATAAATGTGACCGAATATCTAAAAAAAAGTCAAAAATCCATCCCCTGATCTGTCCAACCCCCCCCCCCTTTCTTTCCTCAACGTACAGCGCAACATATTCCTTACTTCTTATCCCCCAGGCCAGGAGCGTATGAGAACATTTGTGACGGGGGTGCACATAATAATTTTGTCCCCCCCCCCGTCGGCAAAATTGTGCCCCCCCCCCCTTAAAACCCCTTTTTTGAAAAAATATTGATACCTTATCTCTCTGTAGGACAATTTTCAAGTATACTCTACACATCAAATGTCCTACAGAGAGAGATATTATATTATGTAGCAGAGATCAGGTGGTTTATAGAGCAGTGGCCCGGCCAGAGGGTCAGAGGAAATTATAAAAAGGAAACACTAAATTCTTATTTCATATCAGGCTGTAGATACAGGCCATGGTAGCCAGAGCTTCACGGCTTCGGCTACTGCCAATCAGGAATAACAGTCTCACTGCACATGTCATGATAACTGTGTGATCCATGCACCACAAAAGGGGGCTCTGGGTTGCAGGGAGGGGTGGTTACCTGGTAACAGTTGTGTTATTGGGGAGTCACTAGATAGATAGATAGATATTTCATTGATTTTCTCATTTTCCCTTTTGATATGAGTTTAAATTGTAGATTAATCACATTGATCACAAAGATATTTATTTAATCCTTATCTCCCAGGTATAAATTTGGAGACGTCCCCCCTGGAAGGCTGGAATGATCAAAATAAATGAGGAAAAAGAAAATTTGAAGTTTACAATGCAAACTACTACTTAATTAATGTTTCCTTTTCTTATGTGCTTTTAAATGACAGGATTGGGTGGCAAGGTATTCACACTGATCGCAGGGATACCTCACTCCTTCATGCTTAGTTTTTGTATGTCTCCTCAGACTACTTGGGTCAGTTGCAGCGAATTCACATTGATCACAAGAATATCTCACTCCTTCATGTTTAGATTCAATGTGCAACTTCAGACTACTGTCTATAGTGGCAGTGTACTCACAATGATCGCATGGATATCTCACTCCGTCATGTTTATTTTTGATATGAATCTTCAGACTACTTTCTGTAGTGGCAGCGTACTCACAATGATCGCATGGATATCTCACACCTTCATGATTAGATTCAATGTGCAACTTCAGACTTTTTACTTCAGTCGCAACGTATTCACACAGATCGCAAGGATATCTCACACCTAGATGTTTTTTTTCAATGTGTTTCTTCAGATTACTTTGATGAGTTGCAGCATACATACACTGGCCACAGGGATATCTAACACCTTGGTGCCTACTCTCAATGTGAACCTTCAGATTTTTTGCTTTGTTGGCTACGTAATTACACAGGTCACAGGGATATCTCACTCCTTTATGTTTAGATTCAATGTGCAGCTTCAGAATTTGTGCACCAGTATAAACGTTTTCACACTGATCACAGGGATACCTCACTCCTTCATGCTTACTTTCAATATGTTTCTTCAGAGTACCTATTGTAGTGGCAGCGTACTCACATAGATTGCACGGATACCTCACTCCTTTGTGTTTATATTCAATGTGTACCTTTAGACTCTGTACACCAGTAGCAACGTATTCACATTGATCACAAGGATATCTCACTCCTTCATGTTTATTTTTGATATGAATCTTCAGATAACTTTGGTTAGTTGCAGCATATTCACATTGACCGCAAGGATATCTTACTCCTTCATGTTTAGATTTAATGTGTAACTTCAGACGCTGTACACCAATTGCAGTGTATTCACACTGATCACAGGGATACCTCACTCCTTCATGCTTATTTTCAATATGTTTCTTCAGACTACCCGGTGTAGTAGCAGCGTACTCACATTGATCGCATGGATACCTCACTCCTTTGTGTTTAGATTCAATGTGTAACTTCAGACTCTGAACTTCAGTAGCAGCGTATTCACACTGATCGCAGGAATATCTCACTCCTTCATGTTTACTTCTTCTATGTCTTTTCAAATTACGGGACTTAGTTGCCACAAAATCACATTTTCCACAGGGATAACTTTTATCTCCCAGCTTCCTCATTTCAAGCCTCTTTTGTTCAGAGAACAGGGGATCTAATTCAATCTTGATATTTTCAACTGAAAAATTAAAAAAAGAGAATTAATAAGTTATAAAATTAACCTCAAGTATCTTAAATGTTGGAAATTTTTAATAATATCTGAAAGTGCAGTCAATTGAGGTAACAAGTTTACAGGTTTGTGAGCCCAAAGTTCTGAATAAAATCAGAAATCAATAATATTCCTATAATTCCAATAATAATCCTAAAACAATAAATGTAGAAAATCTTTACCCTTAATTTGATTTTCTGTAATTTCCTCTTTTATATCTTCTTCCGCTACATACACAGTACATGTATCCTCTACAGTACAGATTTCTTCTTTGATGGTTACTTTATCTTCTTCCATAATTTCTGCCATTCTTTCTGAAATATGTACAAAACATGTTATACCTTCAAGGGTAAATAGTCTTGTAAAATAAAATGAATAAAAAAATAAACTGCAAGCAAATATTTACAATGATTGAAAAGAAGTAAACGTCAAGAAGGGGTTGTTGAGGTTAAAGCATCGTGTGATAAAATGAGAACAAAGTATGTTTAAAATTAAGACCAAGTGCTGAAAGTTGGAGTAAAACTGGAAATAAACCAGCTGACTGCAAGGTAGGTCAGGCAGAAAAAACGCCAAGCATTTTAAAAGCCGGAACCCTTGAACTGTTATTAATCCTTTCAATGGGGAAAATGAATCTGGGATCGGGAAAAGAATTCAGATCATTGCAATTAAAAATAAACTGAAAGTCCTCGACTTTTTTTGCTTAGGATATAAGACTATAATTTTCGTCTTGGTAGTATTAATTGCAAGTTTATTGGCTCTCAGCCACATTCCCAGATTCTGAAGCTCAAGATTTACAAAGTTTCCAAGTTCAAAAATGCTTGTACCTTTTTTTAAAGCAGTTGTATCGTCAGCAAAGAGAAAGTTAAGCAGGGCATTGCTTTTAAACATATCATTTATGAAGATCAAGAAAAGTAGTGGTCCTAAAATAGATCCCTGTTGATACTATACTAAACTCTTTATTTTCAGTCTTTTCTATTCTATCTGAAAAAAATATAGATTGCATATCCAATGAAAACAAAATTGTTGTACACAGTTTGGTCAAAAATATTAAAAAAACATATTTAAAAAAGTTTATATAGTATAAGACAAATATCCTTCCATAAAAGTTTAGAATGATATTTGTTATTTATGCATAAAATTGAAGAAAAAAAAAAACGTTTTTAATTTCTATTTTTCAAAGAAAAATTTCAGAGAAAATTTTCTGCAAAAATGTTAAAATGATAAAAATATTATTTAAGATAATAAGAATGATGAGGGGAGCAGCGGGGGAACAAAGTTGGGTTTTGATATAGAAAATATACAATTAGAACAAAGATTAATATATTAAAATCTACAATAAGTTTACAGTGCATGGTTCTTTTTTTGATGTGTTTTTAAATGATTAGATTGGGTGGCAATGTATTCACATTGATCACAGGGATATCTCACTCCTTCATGTATTTTTTCAATATGTACTTTAAGATTTCTAACTGTAGTGGCAGCGAATTCACATTGATCACATGGATATCTCACTCCTTCATGTTTACTTTCAATATGTATCTTCAGACTAAATGCTCGAGTGGCAGCGTATTCACATTGATCGCAAGGATATCTAACTCCTTCATGCTTATTTTTAATATGAATCTTCAAAATACCTGCTGTAGTGGCAGCATACTCACATTTGTCGCATGGATACCTCACTCCTACATGTTTAGATTCAATATGCTGTTTTAGAATCCATGCCGTATTGGCAGCATATACACATTGGTCGCATGGATATCTCACTCCTTCATG